TTAGTCCAGTGCCCATAAATATTATGAAATTTGCAATATTTTCGACCATTTCTTTGATCTGCGGAAGGTAATTTATGATCATCGCTCAACTTAATATGTTTATCTTTCAATAAAATATCGAAGATTTTATCTGCTTTTGTTACATCGAAAGTATATGTATGATTTGCCATTTTGTCTTTTACTTCATTTTCTGTTGCAGTTTACAAATATATGGAGCTCCTACTTTAAGCTCTGCTATATTTACTTTCTCATCGATAGATTCTTCAATTTCTACTTTTGTCCTGGGATTCTCCTCATATACGTCATTTATATATGCTAACCTATCTTTCTTCATAGGTTTTTCAAATTTCTTGTACCTTTGTTTCTCATATTTGATTTGTTCCACTCTCCTCACTTTATTGGTTAGTTGAGCCATGTCATTCAATGGTAAATTAACTAACTTCTTCTTAATCGAGAATTCTAAACCTGCAGAGGCCATTCTGACTAATTCAAATTCGGGAATTTGAGTAAAACATCTCGACTTCTTTTGTCTAAATCTATTCAAATAATCATCTACACTTTCATGATTATATCTCTTTATATTCATTAAGTCGATAAGACTTACTTGAGTCTCCCCCCTAAAGAATTGCTCATGAAAATTTCTTTCCAGCTGCACCCAATTATATATCGAATTAGGTGGCAACGAAGTAAACCAAGTGAAAGCATTTTTTGTTAACGAACTAAGGAAGTATTTCATTTTTAATTCCTCACTCATCGTTATATCTCCACATTCGATTTGATATCGCGCCACATGCTCGATAGTGGATTCACCAATTTCTCCAGCAAATTTGGTGAATTTGGGTATTTTGTATCCTCGAGGTAATTCTGTCTCGAGAATCGTATTTGGAAAAGGAGAAACAAAGTATGATTGGTTGGGTGGTCTTAATTCCACTCCTTGGGGATTCATCCTTTGTCCCAACATATGATTGTACTGCATGTTATTCTGATTGTAAATTATTTTGAAATCCCCCATTTCCGCAAGTATCATTCCTCACATGTTGATATTCATTTCCCACATGCTGATATTGATCACCATTTCGATTTCTCCTTAATAAATAAAGGGGATTGATATTAACGTTTTGGTTATTATCCTGATTGGCATTATTTTCGACCCTCGTTTGTCGAGGTATTGCTAATGCATCCCCGATATGTGTCATTTGATCTGCTAGTATCTCAAAACTATTGGTAGTGTTTTGAACTAATGGGTTTAATACTGTAGTCAACTGTTGTGACAACATATTAACCATCTCGAAATTGCTTTCATCCATTTGTTGCCGAAGCACTCCTAATGAATTACTGGAAATTCCAGTACTAGCATTTTCGATAGCCTCGAAATTGGATTGATGATAATCTCTATCGAATGCATATCTCCCGTGATCCAGATTTGCTCTGTGATCTAGGTTTGATATTGGAGACGTCTGTTGTGTTCCTAAACTTTGCGCATCCCCTGAATTCTGAGGTGTTACTAAATTTTGGGACACACCTAAATTTGGGGATACTCCAAAATTTTGAGGCATACCTAAGGTTTGAAACGTTCCTAAGTTTTGGGGCATTCCTAGGTTAAATCTCGTACTTCGTTGTATTGAAGAAGTACCAGCCCCATTCATATTATTAAACGAAAAACTAGGCGGCCTTACACTCATATGCGGACCTGCATATGTTGTTACGGGGTTTCCCGTGGTTTGCATATTGTTTGACATTACAGTACTAGACCCTAACTGAGTATTTGCTAATGTCCCTGGGCTTTGTTCAGTACTCACAGGCATCGACGCACTCACAGTTGTCGATATTACAAGCATATTTCCATTGTGAACTTGCCCCCCAGTGTTTGGTGGATTTGGACTATTTGGAATCTCACTGTTATTCTGACTATTCGATGGATTTTGACTCATTCTTACTACTCGCCCACTCCTTAATCTTATACACTTGAACTAGCCAATTTTTTGTGTTTTTGACACAACGAGGCCCCTACCTGGCGCGCCAATTTGTTTCTGGTGAAAATTTGATCGATTTCGATTTCTTAGAAACTTAGGTTCTAATCAAATTTCAACCACGTAGATTCTTTTTACTTAGGCTAGCAACAATTTTCAATCAAGAAATGTATGAGAATAAAAAATGTTACAATATCGAGAAAGTGCAATAGACCATACAGATTGACGCTCGAAAGTATTATTTTTGGTATTTTTCATTAAGAAACACAAAGTAAAGAAAACAGTAAAACGTATCAAAAAATGAAAGACACTACAGAATATTAAATTACAGAGAATTGTAAATGCGGAAACCTCAAAATTGCATTAACTGTAAATGACAAAGAATCAAAATTGCATTGAAAGTAAATGGCAGGACATCAAAATTGCAGAAACGGTAAATGGGAAGAACTTGGAAGTACAGAATCTTAAATTGCATTAAAAGTAACTGACAAGTAATTGAAATTACATAAACTTAAATTGATGAATGTAAATTGCATGAAAGTAAATTACCAGGGAAAGTAAAGAAAGCGATAAAGATAATCAATGATAATGGAAATCCAGAGCATTAGAAACTTCATGATGCATCGTTCTCCTGTAGACTTTTCACTAACGTTTCTGTTCTCTCTGCCAATTCCCCCTTTCCTTCAATCTTTGCTCTATTTATAGAGCATCCTTCAGGTAACCTCCTAAGAGCAGTCAATGAAAATTGCTACCACGTTCTACGTGCACGTCCCTCGAAGTTTTACCTTAGTTCTACGGTTTAGAAAACTGCTTCCACGTTCCATACGCGTTTTAACCGTTCCTCAATTTATAACTTAGCCATAATTTCGATAGCCATGTAGGTTAACATTTCCCTCGATCTCGATTTCAAATCTCGAGAACTTTGAATTGCTTTTGATTTCCCTTAACCTTAACATTACACTTGATTCAAATTTCTCGATTTTCTTCAGCAATAGACATCAAATATTCTTCCTTCGATTCTCGATTCTAATTCTCGATTTATGTGTTCATACTTGTTATGTGGTCATCGAATGTCTTCCAACCATCTTTTCGATTTATTAATTTTTTAACTAATCATATGTTCCTCGATTTTCTTTCCTCCGCTTTTCGATCCTTATGTCGATTTTTTCATTAACGAGATATATAAGATTTTATTCTAGATTTTAAAAAAATACATTTTATTTATTTTTGTTCTTTTTATAGTTAATTATGCCAAAATAAATATATTTTTCTTTCAACAAAAACATTCATTCTATTTTTTCTTTTTTCACAACTACATCACTTAATCCACAATTTTAGAAATACAAACACTAATTCTACAAGTCAACTGAGGACAAAATTTCATATTATTTTATTTAATTTTGTTAGAAAAATTACAATTATTTTGTAATGATATTTAATCTTCATATAAATATATATATATATATATATATATATATATATATATATATATAATAAACGCAAACAAATTATTTTTATTTATTTAATAAATTATTTTTGTCATTGTTGAAGGATCATAGATTATATTATCATGAGATCTACGTAACATCATTATTGATACCCCATCAACATTTTTATACTTAAAATGACTAGAGATTAAAAACCAAAAATTTGAAAATATTTTAAAGATTTTTCTTTTTCAGAGAGAGTAAAATAAAAAATGTTGGTAGAACTATTGGCAATTTTTTTTAAACCCTTATTAGTATAATATAATGTAATAATAACATGATAAAAAACTATATTACAGGTTTAGTTTCTCTAATTATTGATTTGGCAATTTTTGTTTTTATTATAAATTTTTGCTAAAAATATAAATTGAATATAGGTAGATAAAATTATTTAAATATGTATGTCTAATTAAATTATTAAGAAATTAAAATATGTTATAATTATATTATAATTATAATTAAATATTATATAATCTGTATAATATTTCATAAAGAAAAAAAAATCTCAACACTAAAAATGACACTTACCAATCATTTACAATGTTAATTTAATCGAGTATTTTTCAAAAAAATATCTCTCTAATATTATATTTCACTAACATGCATTAGATAACTATATATTCTCTTCTCTCCTATTAATAATTACTCATATATACATTAATATTGTGCCTGCATCAAAATTCATGTTAATCTAAATCGATAATTCTTAATGTAAACTATTAATCAAATAGTTATCTTATATATTATTTTAGATAACTATATATTCTCTTCTCTCCTATTAATAATTACTCATATATACATTAATATTGTGCCTGCATCAAAATTCATGTTAATCTAAATCGATAATTCTTAATGTAAACTATTAATCAAATAGTTATGTTATATATTATTAATCATAATATTATTAATCTCAACAAATTAGTCCCAATACTTAATTATATAAAAAAATTTCTATCACATGAAATATTACTGAACTTTTACTTTTTCAATTACTCTACTTTACGTTTTTATTATATTTTTAATAACTTATCACTAAACATCTCAACTTTTCATGATAATATATATATATATATATATATATATATATATATATATATAATATAAATAAAAATAAAAAATAAAAAATAATTATTATATTTTAGTTGAATTTTTATTAACTAAATAGAAAAGTATTGTTTCTAAAATATAAAAAATAAATTTACTTTATATATAATATATGTGAAGATATTATAAAAAGTATTTTAATTAATTAAAATTCAAAATATATTGTTCGAATCGAACCGTCCATCGCATAAATAAATTAGGAATCTCTGCTATCTTTGCGCCCTTCAAAGCTCGGTCTCTCGTAGGGTTTTGTTTCGATTCTCGTTCGCTAGGGTTTCTCACCCCTTTACGATCCCCAATTCCCCCGACCTTTCATCCCCAGTGTTTGTCTTTCACTTCCAATTCCGACGTCCTCGTTAGGGTTTTTCTCAGATCCCTCAATCTCGCGAAATCCGCTGTTCAATCCAGCGCTTCTTCAATCTAGGGTTTCGTTTCGAGAATGCCTCCGAAAACGGCGAAGCGCGGGTCCGCGTCGAGCGGCTCAAAAAGGGGTGGCAGAGGCGGCAGAGGTACCTCGAAGGGTGTGCAGAGCCAGCAGCTCCATGAAGCTGCGGAAGAGGTAGTGAAGGTCGACGAGAAACAACCCATTGTTGTTGTTGCTGAGGAGGAACAATCCAAGGTGGTGGAAGAAGAGAACCCTGTGGTTGAAGAAAAACAACTTGTGGTTGAAGAGAAAAAATCTTTTGTCGTGGTTGAGGATAAGGCTATTGATATGAACCAAATGGCTCCGGAGGCTGTGGAAGAAGCGTCCCATTTGGCTAATGGGTTGACTGTGGTGAAAAGTAAGTGCCTTTTCCTTTCTTACCTTTTAATGATTAGGATTTTTAGAGTTTTTTTGGTTAGGTTGAAGGTAGTGGTGGTGTTCAACTTCAGGCTTTTGGTTGTGATGCTTAGTTGAGTTTAAATTCGGTGGTAGATTTTTAATTATAATTGTGATTTTGGTTTTATTTATGTTGCGATAAACTGGAACAATTGCCACGACCCTTGCGGTGGCAGTTTCATCCAAATCCCTAATATTCGTGGGATTGGGACAAATGTGCCCACCAAAAAATGGGACGAATGTGGCCTTCGTTTTGCTCCGATCGCTTAAATTGGGACAATGGCAGCCACCAACAACTGGCGCAAATCAATGTATCTAGATTGCCGTGCAGTTCCCGTTTTGTTCCTGTTCTCTATATTGAGGGAAATTGAGACATATGTGGCCAATATGGCGGTACATGCCACATATACCCTGTAGATGCGGCTAAATTAACGGTTACAAACTGTTTCTTACAAGGTCCTAATTATTTTGGGGTTCTTTATTTGTTAAACTTTACATGGTTTTAGTTGTTGTGTGGGTATATTAATCTGAGTTTACTCGATAGTGATAGTGAGAAAGCTATTGGAGGAAGTATTTCTTTGATGTGTGTCTTGAAATGTTATTAGTTGTTCTCTTGCCTTTGTTGTAGTGGTTGGAAATTGAGTTGGGGGGCTATTCAATGAGATATGTGTGCGTTGAAAGGTGATTGTTTTTCAATTTGTTTTAGTTCAAGATTTTGGAGTTCACGTGTTTGCTAGTGTGGTGTGGTGGGAGTAGTTCCAACCAGGCATGATGTTATTGATTATGGAGTATGGATAAGCTAATTTTATTAGTGCTATGATGTTGGAAAAGTTTGCTCTGTTTTGACCGGGATCATCTGAAATGTATTTTTGACAGACGATGAAGAGGAGGTTAAGGAATCAATAGATGAATATGAGAAAGATGAACGCTTAGATTTGGAGGATAATGATCCTGAGTATGAAGCTGAGGAGTATGGTGGAGTTGATTATGATGAGAAGGAAATTGAACAAGATGAGGGTCATGAGGTGGGAAATGAAGTAGAGGAAGAAGAGGCTGAAGATAATGTAGGTGAAGAAGAGGGTGATACAGGTGAGGAAGAAGTTGAAGATGTTCATGATGAACTCGAGGGTGAAGAGGACCGTGAGCATACTGGTGAGGAGCATGAGCACCCAGACTTTGCTGATGTGGAGGAAGAGGAACACCGGGAGGTAGTGAAGGAGAGGCGTAAGCGGAAAGAGTTTGAAGTTTTTGTTGGTGGTTTGGACAAGGATGCTACTGAGAGTGATCTGAGGAAGGTTTTTGGCGAAGTAGGGGTTGTTACAGAGGTCAGGTTGATGATGAATCCTCAGACTAAGAAGAACAAGGGATTTGCATTCTTGCGTTTTGAAACTGTGGAACAAGCTAAACGAGCTGTAGCTGAGCTCAGAAATCCTGTGGTAATTTTTTTCTATATGTTAGAGTAGAATTGAAAATGATGCTGTATTATATTACATTTTTTATCACCCAAATTTCAGATTAATGGCAAACAATGTGGTGTTACTCCTAGTCAGGACAGTGATACCCTATATTTGGGAAACATATGCAAGACATGGACAAAGGAAGCTGTAAGTTAAATTCTCTTGTGTGGGTCTAATTTCTGACCTCCAACACCTGAATTGTGTATGATAGTTATTTTATTCATTCAAGTATACTTTGTTTCTGACCACGAATGAAACTTCTGGTGCCAGTTAAAAGAGAAGCTGAAACACTATGGAGTTACACATGTTGAGGATTTGACCTTGGTGGAAGATACTAATGATGAAGGGAAGAACCGTGGGTTTGCATTTTTAGAATTTTCCTCTCGTTCTGATGCTATGGATGCCTTTAAGCGACTGCAGAAGAGGGATGTTGTGTTTGGAGTTGATAAGCCTGCAAAAGTTTCTTTTGCAGATTCCTTTATTGACCCGGGTGATGAAATTATGGCACAGGTATTTTCTAAATCCAATTCCTTGGTTTAACCAGGGATTTTTAGCAGAATCTGGTAGTATGGTATCTGCTCTTATTGAAGCATTTGGGTTGCAGTAAAAAATGCTTCTTGGTTCCAATGCCAATAGTGGATACTTTGGTTGTTGGATATTGTGTTATTCTTGTTACATAATTTTAAATTCTAGTCACATTGGCTGTGAACATTTTCCCACAATTCTCTGTAGGTATGATGATTAAAATTTGTTTGCTTTAGCAACATCAATCTAAAGCTGAACTTTTTCAATGAATAAGAAGCACTTGGGTTTTCTTTTATGGTTGATAATTGAATTGCTAATATTTCTGCAAATTTTGTTGAGTTTACTTTTTAAGGCTGGTCAGAATGACACATCAGTAGTTTACTTCATTATGAGTGGATAAACTATCCATATTGTGGTCTCTGGTGTTTAGATGCTAGTGGACCTCAAATTTGCTGATAAAGTGTGTTGAAGTTGCAGGTTAAAACTGTGTTTATCGATGCATTACCTCCTTCATGGGATGAAGATTATGTTCGAGATCTTCTCAAGAAATATGGAGACATTGAAAAGGTTGAGCTAGCCAGGAACATGCCTGCTGCACGGAGGAAGGACTACGGTTTTGTTACATTTGGCACACATGATGCTGCTGTAAAATGTGCTGATAGTATTACTGGCACAGATTTAGGTGAAGGAGACAAGAAGGTCTGTCTTGGATATTAATAAACAGCTTATGTTCTACAGTTAAATGGGGAATTTACAATGCTTTTGCTTCTTTCAGGCAAAAGTTAGAGCAAGGTTGTCAAGACCACTTCAGAGAGGTCGTGGAAAACACATTAGTCGTGGGGACTATCGTTCCACTCGAGGATCTGGAATGATGACAAGGCCTTCATGGAGCCGACCTGCACCTCGTACTTTTACTCCACGTGGTGCAAGAGGAGTTGGAAGTCGTGCTCCACCTGTGAGACCAGTTAGTGCAAGAGATAGACGTCCTATCATGTCCATACCAGCAAGAAGTAGGCCAGTGCCTCCTCCATCTAGATCTTATGATAGGAGACCAGTGGGTATGTGGTTTACATTTGTTTTACCAGTACACTTGGTTTTAATGCTCATTTATTTTTCATTACATTATAAATTGTTGTATTATTCTTAGCACCTGCATATCCAAAAAGTAGCATGAAGAGAGATTATAGTCGGCGGGAAGATATACCGCCTCCAAGAAGTAGAGTTGCTGTAGATTATGGCTCAAGGGTGGCTTCTGAAAGACGACCATCTTACAGGGATTACCCTGCTCGTGGTCCTGGTCCTGGCTACACTGAGCTCCCTAGAAGCACATCTCGGGCTGCACCAAGGAGGGGCTATGTGGATGATGGTTATAGCCAAAGATTTGAGAGGCCTCCTCCTCCACCTCCTCCGCATCTAAGTTACCGGGAAGGACGTCCCCGAGATTACGATGCTCTGTCTGGTTCAAAACGTTCTTATGCTGCTATTGTGAGTATTATTTCTGCATATTTATCATAATTCCTCTGTTAAATGAACACTTATCATTTTTATTTTTCTAATCAGGATGATGTCCCTCCCCGGTATGCTGATACTGGTGCTCGCCAATCAAGAGCTCGATTAGACTATGATTATGGCGGTAGTTCTTCACAATATGGAGATGCTTATGGTGATAGGTTAGTTTTGTCTAATATTAAAGTTTGATGCTTTTCTTCCTGGCTAAACTAATTATGGTCATGTATTTCATTCTATACTTTTGATTGTTAGACTTGGAAGATCCAGTATGGGATATGGTAGTAGCAGCAGAAGTTCTATGTCTGGTCAAGATTCACATGGGATGTATAGTAGTCGACAGGGCATGAGTTATGGAGGAGGTGATTCGTTTGCGAATAGTCTGATCTATTGTTGTCAGTATCAGAATTTTTGTTTCTTTTCTTACATTTTCAGAAATGTTGCATGTTAGGTTCTTTTACCAGTGGTGATGTTGGGGGCTTGTACACTTCAAGTTATGGCAGTGATTACATTTCTCGTGGAAGTGATGTAATGATCCTGATCTTTCTTAGTCTCTATAGGAACTAGTGCTACATATACATACATGTTTTGTGTTCTTATATTTTTCTTGTGCTGCAGGTTGGTGGCAGCTCATATTCCTCAGTATATTCAGGCAGGGGTGTGGGTGGTGGTAGCAGTTATATGGGTGGCGGCGGATCAGGATCTTATTACTGAGGTAAGTCATCTGAGAACTTCTTGGGACTGCATTTTGTGGACTACATAGGATGCATCCAATATAAGTGAATATTTTTTCTGAGAGATTTCTCTATCCTCGAACTAGCATCTCTTATTTTTTCACAAGGGCTGGTGAAGGTTGCGCACTGTGGTTACCAGTGAATTTATCTATGAACAGATCTGATATAATAAAGTGGCTGCTGTAGGATGACCGTTGAAGCTTATGCACATTATGATGCCTACAAATTTGGAGACAAAGGAACATTGCTATTTATAGCCTTTTTTCAGAATTTGTCGCAAAAACTAGCACATGTCAATTCAAGCTATCTTGGGTCTTCTTTGGATGGATGTATTATCAGTACTTGAATTTGTGCTGTATGGACTCAAGTTAATTAGAGATGGAAAAAGTATTGAGCAGTGATGTGTAATTAAACCCTGATTAATGATATCATACTTGGACGGATTCTATGAAAGATTTACCCACTGCTCCATCTTCCTTTTCATTTGGAATGAGACCAGGCTAGAGATGCTACTTGTTTGATTAAGGCTTCATGGATTGTACCTACTGAATTTATGAATAAGTTGGTTCTTTATTTTGAATCTCTAGAGAGATCTTTAGTTACTTTGGATGGATTACTTGTTTTTGCTCTGTTATGATCAGAACAGAAGTGAACTAATTAGTAATTTGTTGAGCTAGTAGTAATAAGAGCACTACTTCAGCAATTAATAAAGTCCAATGATAGTTTATTGGGTTTTATTTGACTTGGTGTCATCCTAAGATAGTTAAAGCATATTGTACTGCTGGTAATATTTGTTGCTGCTATGATTTGATACTTTTGAGGTTTTTATGCCGAGACGGACAAGACAATGCAAACGATGCATTGATATTTTTCCTTAGATAACTTCATAGATTTCCTTAAAGCACTTCAATCATTCGTACATTGAGGCGGAACTCAGAAGATCAATTGCCTTTGTAAATATCTTGGGGGAAAGGCTACAATCAAGGGATAATAGAGTGTAGCAGATAAGGGTTGATAATCACCTGCTACTGAGTTTCTGAATTGGAATTAATTATCAAGGTTCGTTCTTAATGCACCTCTGGTTATTCCTCCCTTAATTGTAGCCAAACCCAATCGCAAAGGCAAAGGCTGCCAAAGTTTATACTCGTGTAGATTTGGTTTTGATATTGTGTTATGCTTAAGACTTTAAGTGGGCATTTTCAATTTCCGTACCATGTTGGTAATGAGTTTCAAAAACTAATTGGTAGGCTCTCAAGGCACTGGAAGCCATAGCCTACGGAATGAGGTATTGCCTAAGTATGTTCTTTATGGACTCGTTTACGACTACAAAGCTTGTTAGGATTTATGAGTTTTGGTAAAACTATATGATTTTACATATAATTTTGTTAGGACTTGAGTTATGCTAAATCAGATGATTTATCGTACAATTTGATCATGCATATAATAACATGGATTTTAGATTATTGTCTTGTGAATATTCTGCGGTTACGCAGATTATTCAAATTGTTAAACATACTAGTAGATAGGTGTCAACTTGAGTTTCCATGCTCTCATCGTGGCTGCTTACATTTAATTATTCTTCAATGGGTGAGGGTTATCTACTAACTTAAGTTCTAGTTTCCAGTTTGTTATTCTCTTCTCTCGGTGCAGGGATCTCTTCAAGCCCGTTTGGTAAACACTATACATATGGAAGTTTACTTTTTTATTATTTTTGGTATCTTGTTTAGTTGGACGCTGTCAGTTTTTTTTTTGTAAATCAATGTTTTGTCGATTGCTCATGCATTATTACATTGTAAACTCTGGTGTGGCAAAACTAACGTGCTGATCAGATTCCTGTCTATTCCGTTTATGTGGTGCATGTATACATGTTGATAACATGTTGTATATCACTAAAGAAAACCAGGGTTTTGGACTTCAAAATAGTTATGGCAGCTAGTATTTGACATGGTGAACTACGTGTCAAATGCCCCCCTGCCATATTTTATTTTATTTAAATTTATCCTTTCAATTATTGTTGGATAACTATGTACATTAATTCAAACTCCACGAATGGAAAATAATATTTGCTTGCATCACTGTTTGAGGGTTATGCTTCTTATTAGGCTATGAACAACGAGCACATCACTTCATAGCCAAGTCATTATAGGGTGATAATATGTCGTTAATAAAAGTAAAGAATAATGTGTGATGTTCCCCAATGTCAAATTCTCGTGTAACTTCTCAAATAAATTAGTCAAAAATTAATAATTTTGTGATCCAAGTAGACATAAATTTTATATAACTTATAAAAATTATAGTTGGTCAATGTAGGTCCAAGTTGGTAACACCTAATCGAGAGAGGAGAATAGACTAACTTTTAAATAAAATTATTATTTTTCTTTATTTTTGTGAACAATTCAACTTTGAAGTAGTTTTACATCGTTCATCACATTATTCTCACGTCTATGCGTTTAGGTCATGTATTATATATTATTTCTTCACGTAACTAGCTGGTTTTTATCTGGTTTTATTATGAAATTGAATATGAAATGAACTTTTCGCATTAGAAAAAATGGTGTCTGACTTTAGGAAAATTTTGCATAAGAAATTCCATGCTACCCAAGGTTTTCTTATGAAGAAGAAAATGGTATTAGTTTGTTATAGAATTTGACGAATTCAAGATCAAGCAACGAAATTGTTCCATAGCATGCAGGAGAGAGGAGATAAAGGTTTCATTCAGTTTCAACATCTTGTTCAGAAAATAATTAGAAATTGATGAATGAGGATCTCTCATTGTAGTTGACTTTTGCTAATTCTCCTTAGAAGGAAGTCATACTAAATAATATTTCCTTCCGTGTAGAAGAGTTTGTGATTGTATTAAACTAGTATCATCACGGGATTCTTTAGGTTTTTCTATTAATAATAAATAATACTTCAATATTAATAATAATAATAAGAAGAAGAAAAAAAGAAAAAGAAAAAGTGTTATAAATTATTCTAAAATTTTAAAATTTTATTTAAAAATAGTTATATTGAGAAAGATTGTATAAAATAAAAAAATTTACTTATGTAAACTCGATGAAATTATCTAATACAAAATTTCAAAAATATCTATATGATTTCTATAATACTGAATAATTATAATAAAAATGACATTATAATTTATAAAGTAGTTAGTTATATATGATCATGAATAAAATTTATCAATTATATAATTTCATTATTATTGAATAAGTATAATTTGTAAGTGATAATGAATATCATGAATAAAATTTATCAATTGTAATAAGTATAATTTATAAGTGATAATGAATATTATGCATTTTTAAAGATTAAATAATTAAAAAAAGTATAGTAAATAAAAAAAGTAGATATGTAGATTTTAGAGATTAAATAATTAAAAAAAGTATAGTAAATAAATAAAGTAGATATGTAGATTTTAGTATTATAGTAGACTTGCATATATTTAGAGGTTTTTAAAAAAAATAATTTTAGACTACATTTTTAATACAGGATGTTACATTTTTTTCTTCATCTAATATAAACATTTTCAAACATTTTTTTTTGTTTTGACTACGGAAATAGTCACGTATAACTAACCATGAGTGAATATTTGACGCGAAAAATAAAGTTGAACTTTGTAGTACGTTGGTGATGTTGTCTGATATTTAATTTCAATAAAATTCAATTTGTTAAAGAATATTGTATTTTGTAGTATGCTGATATAGAGTTTGTGCATACTATTATGACATGCATGCCCTATGTGATGTTAAACGTGCGTAACTTTGATTTTGAAAATAAAGCTTTAGTTTGTCTGCATTTATATTTATCCTGTGCATTGTATTTATCTTGCATAAGTTAATAAATTTTGTATTGTGCTAAGCGAATTATTATAAATTTGATGTTATGATAATCTGAATAAGATTGATTACTTTTTATTATTTCAATTTAGAATAAATTTTAAAAGTTATTGTATATATTATAAATGAAAACACATTATAATACTCTATGATTTGAGCTAATAGCAAAGGAAGATATCTTATTATAACAATTGATTTATATAATTTGATGTACCATAGTTCATACAAAAGGGAAATAGAGGAAAAAAATATAAAGCACGTCATCACTGACTTTATATAAAAAATGAGAAACAAATACAGTTCATAGTACATCAATTTGTCATCTTTACAATAACATTCATGCGTTTGTTTGGATGTCTATTAGCTTGAAAAATATGGTTGTTCCCTACACTTAGTTGGTTTTCATAACAAAATTCTTTCCATCCTTTTCCTATTTTGATAGATTTTTTTGGTTTGTTTTTAATAAGAAGTTTGCATATAACTTCTTTAATGTTCCAACAAGAATTGTGAACCTACCTTTACAAATGTATTAACAAATTTCACTAGCCAGTCTTGCAATAAATGAGATAGTTAGAACTTACATAACACTTTATGTAACTTTAACAAACAATAAATTTAAATAAGAAATAAATGTATGACTAAAAAAATATCATAAGATGACTAGTTTGGGATTGATATTTGTCAAGTGTTAATGTAAAGTAAATCAGTGGTCCATTCAATCCAATTCATGTATGAAAGAGGTCCTTTAAAGACGTTATATAGAACTTTCCTAAATAAAATATTTTGGTGACTCACAACTTGATAAAACCTTGTGAATTTAGTTCATCCATATGTCAGTAAAGACTTATCCAAGTTCATGTTGTATCTAACAACATGATTGTTACCCTTATGATCAGACAAATGCCATATTGCATCGAATTCATAAACAAATAAAATAATAAAGTGATGATCAACGTAACTAACAATCTAACCGACATTTTAAAAACATAACACAAAAGAACAATTTATTATAACCATTTATAAAGAATAAACAAATTTGTAAAATAGAAAATTGGTTTGGCTAAAAAGTTGATAGAAAGGAAAAAAAAAGTGTGAAAGAAAGCAACTTTACATACATAGGGAAAATAAATGAAATCATCTTATAGAGAAAAAAAATATTTGAAAGAAGGCTGACTCATTAGGGAACATCC